TCCTAAACAAAATAATCTCAAAACGAAACTTACATTTTCAACGAACGTACGAATATTTCGTTTCCCACAAGCCAAAAAGTATCGATGTTGATGTTCAGTCGCATCAATTCCCTAAAAAATATCCTCCCATCAAAATACTCGACGAAATGAAATTCTATATAATATCTTCAAAACAACAACTGAAAAAAACCTCAACAAAACTTCAAAGAAATAATTTCAAATTCACTTGAACTATTCTTCAAACTCCTTCCATCTATCCAAGATACCCGTAAAATGTCCAAATTCAAGCTCAAATTACCCGTAGGTACAACATGAAATTCGAGCATCGCAAACTCGGTGAAACGAATTGCAACAGCGTATAGATGAAATTTATCGACATCACCGCCAACAGCTGAAAATAACCACGAGCCTCATCAAGGATTAAGGATCGTTTTTGGACTTTTCCAACAAAAACATTGAAACTACTCACAACCTTATTAAACTACATCAAAATACTGCTCATGTTTAAATATTTGAACGTAAGTTCCCAAAAATATTCGCACAAAATTTCCACCAAAAGACAACCAAACACTCACCACAACGATCCAAAACCAGAGCATAACAAATAATTTCTCGTTGATGACGTTAAGCATCAGAACGCACTGGAATGTGTCTATCTGCATACGTCCGAGTGTGTGACGTTCAATGTCACAGAACGTCACACGTGGAAAATAATGAATGGCTGTCTTCGATCCTACATTCGTCACTTTTTGCACCACTTTCGACGGCTGAAAGTTTATCAAAATTTTCGCTCAGTATTCGACAAAAAGCATTCCCACTCTCACATGTAAGAATGATTCTAATTGTAAAGATTCTAATTATAAGAATATCGAATCGCAACAATATGCCATGATCGCACAATTATTTCACTGCCAACAATTATCTAATCTGCATTATCATGCATCTATTTCAGCTGTACTATCATACACCTGGCTCGTATAACCCTATTTCAATAACCTTCTCCTTTTCGCTCAAAAAGAAATCCGAACCGAAGACAATTCGTTTCAAACTCTTTCAGAATGCAGCAAATTACTCAATCAATCCAACAGACTCAACTCATCATTCCACTCAACTCTAAAGAATGCAAAATGCTAACCTGAAAAGCCCATGTAGGATCATCAATACCCAGAAAACGACCAATTAGCCACAATTGAATTGCATCGTTTATAAGCCACACAAACTTCGTCGTTAGGTAAGCTGCGGTCGCAAAGAAACCAAGTCTTGTTGGTTTCAATAAACTTGCACAAAAACTCATCTGGAATGGTATCGATCAAAATTTATTGTTGCCGATAAAACAAACTAAACGCAGTTCGCAATTATTCGCATTCAATTAATCTAACACGGCAGAATTCTTTTCTTTTCATCGTGAGCATGCAACATTTTCTTTGCTACATAAAAAAAAGTCTTTCAAAAAAGCAATAAAAATCTCAATTCAACAAAGAGATTTTCAAACAGCGATTCTAGGATTGTTACCGATTGTTGAAGTTTATCGCGATACTCGAAAGAGGTGCGGATGAATTCGACGACTTTCACCAATTTTTTCGATCTGTTCTCTTCTTTTCTCTCGTCTCGTATCGCGACCGCTTCATCCACCACCGTTTGAATATCCACCACTAAAATGGAACTGAATCGAAGCGATACGATTTTTAGAGGTTTACCAGAACAATTCAAAAAAGTTCAAAAAATCAAGACCCAATGTTTTTGAAGAATCGAAGAGACTTAATCGTACTACGATGTCCTTAAAAAAACTTTTGACTATGACAAATAACCACAACAAAAAACGATTCAAAAGCGAATGATTAAAAGTACTCACTGCCATACTGTTGAAGAAAATGCCAAATCCAACTAGGTATGTAGAAGCAGAAAGCTTGAATCGCGAAGAAGTATGGTACCCACTGAAACAAAGACTACACTTGTTTTTTGACAATTCAAGAATTCCGAACTGGAATTTTCTGGATAAAATGATAAATGTTCTACTTCAATACATATTATACGGCAGTATTTCGATGCACTACTTCCATGAATTGGAATTACCAAATGCTTGAAAAGTTAAGTCGTCA